TGCAGCATGGAGCATGTCAGTGGCGGGCAGCACAAGGGCAGGTGCTGACCTCCAAAAGTAATTTTATTGGAATACATGAGTTTTCTCTTTTCGAAATCCGAATAGGAAGGGTACTTGTTATATTCGAATACAATGTGTATGTTTTCTATTCGAGGAGCTTTGGTATTCGCGAAAAGTGCACCTGCACCTTTTCAATTTTGAAAATGGCTTAAGGACCTCGGTCTCCTACGGGCTCCTACGGGCAGCTACCGGTCCTACGTGGTCCTGGCCCTTGCAAGGCCCCAAAACCTCAAAATGCCCACCCTCCCGACGACCACCGACGTTGAAATTTGATTGACGTTGAAATGTCTCAGGGGGGGAAAACGCAACCCTGACGGGCTGGCTTGGCCCAGAGGACCTCGTCCTGGTCCTACTGACACTCTCCTGGTGGCCCACCTGGGCCCTACTTCAATAGAGTGCGCTGGTTGATCTTAGCTCCATTCCTGTTTAGCAATGGATTGAATGTGTTTCAGGGGGATTGGAGAGGCTCTGTTCGGAGTCTGTTCGGGGCCCTCAGCAGTCGACCCCTGCGTATTTCAGCTGGGCAATCAATGGGATGGAATATCATCGAGCATCAGGAAAGCTGTCTCAAGGGATCAATTGCCCTGCTATTGGGATGAGCTTCTGGACCAGGGATGTTCTGATCGCCAGCCCGTTCGGACCAGTCGGGTACCACGATCCTCGGGGTGTTGCACAAAGGGCGGCCGTAAGGTCACCATATTGGGCTCCGGCCGAATGGTTTTCCGGCTATTCGAAGTATAGCGGCCGCAATAACCCGCGCATTTTTTATCCGCCGAGTTTGGGAGAGTCGGCTGGCGGCAAGCGTGGACTGGTGTTCAGCGCTTTTTCGTCTCAATAGCCGCAGCTAATCGGGATTTTGTCCGCACCACCATCACTCCAGGGGGGCCGGAATTTTGCCCGCGCTACCATCACTCGAGGTTGACGGAATTTCGCCCGCGCCACTCGAGGTCGACGTAATTTTGGTCGCGCCACTGGCGCTCGAGGTTGACGAACTTTGCCCGCGCTACCAAAGCACTCGACGTTGGCGCCTTGCGGAACTTGTCGCCGCATCCTTCTCCTCTGGAAGTCCTCGCCTTCCGCCTTGGCCTTGCCGGTCATCACGATTGAAGAGAGGTGGCACAGAGAGGGAAGATTTAGCTAACTATATAAGGCAGGCGCGGTTCTCCAACTTGCAGGCAATCGTTGGCATTGTCTTCGCCAACGAAATCCTTGCGTTCTTGGCAACGGGCGAGCCGGTATTCCAGATGGCTGATGCGGGCGCTTCTTCTGGCAGTGGACATGGCGACGCGATGATGGTGCTTCCCCCGAGATGCCCCCACTTCGTCACGGGCAATTACGTACAGCGAAACGTGTTCCTGGGCGACAAAGAGTACGGGATGGCATTGGATTGCTTAGTCAAGGCCTGCACGGACGTTCTGCTCATAGATGAAGACTCCGACAGAGCGCGCATCCTGCTGGCCAAACGTATAGTAGAGCCGCAGCCGGATTGGTGGTGAGTTAGTTAGTTAGTTAGTTAGGGTTTTTTTTTTTTTTTTTTTTTTTTTTTTTGGGCTCCAGTTTATTAACCCTACTAAAGGATTAATAGCAAAAATATTTCAAATTTGGTAAAAAATTCGGATGTAATG